CCCCCCCCAGGGGAAACTGGCTCCCCCTAACCGTCAGGAATGCCGTGGGGAGGAGGGAACACCCAGACCTAACTACCCCCTCCCGGGGTGGGGTTCCAGGGCCCTCGGGCTTCCCTTGGATGTGGGAAGCAAGGAGCTGGTTGCAGACAGCATGTCGTCCCTGTCCCCAGCCTGTCCCCGCCCCGGCGCCATCTCTCCTCTGACCCCTCTGCCCATCTCTCAGTGAACCCTGGCATCGCGTCCTGGGGTGGAGGCGGCCAAGCGGGGCCTGCTCCCTGGCGCTCACCGCTCTCCTGTTTCCCTCCAAGCCCACAGGGTCAAGCAGCAGGAAAGACGGGGACCCGGTCAGGTACCGAAGGCTCTATGGCATGGAGATGAAGGGCAAGCGCCTGAGCATAGTCCCCGGCAACTACAGTAAGGAGGCCCTCGGGAAGTCCGGTAAGACAACCAGTAATTCCCGAGCCGTGCGGACCGAACCTTGCAGGTGCACAGGGGGAGCCATCCACTTACAAAGAAAAAGTCCGAGCAGCACCCGGGAACGAGACATGCACCCCCACTGTCCCGTCCCCAGCAAGCCCCTGCCAGGCGAGTAGGGGTATCTGCAGATTTGGGGACATGCCGGGACTTTCCCAGCCATGCACCCCTTCACCTGCAGACAACCCTCTAGAAGAGAGCTGAGGCGCCAAATGAGGAGATAACTGGTTCAAAATCAAAATCTAGATACGCATCGAAAACCAGGTGATATATAAAGATGAAAAACAGAAAAGCCTGAGCAAAGAAGTGAGAAACATACACATGAGGTTAAATCAAGGCTAAAAGAACATGCAGACTAAAAGGGATATTTTTCAATGTTAAACAGAAGAAATAATAACCTTCAAATCTACACACACCAAAAAATGTAGGAGCTAACCAGATAAACATTTAGAAATGCAAGAAGAATCCGATAAACGTACAGTGGAGGACTTTTTATTAAATTTATTGGGGCGACCTTGGTTAATAAAATCACGTAGGTTTCCGGCGTACAATTGTATAATCCATCACCTGTGCGCTGCGTCATGATGGGGCCTTTAATATGCCTCGTTCAGAACCAAATAGATAAAATAGACCGTAACAGAACGTGAACACCACTCTGCCAGTGCAGTCACGCCCTGACTTTACACCTGAATGAGGAACACACGTGTGTATTAGCTCAGGAATACTTACAGAAGCCACCTGTGTTCATCACAAAGAGCACTAACATTCAAAAGAGCAAAGATTTTAGGACATTGCAGTATCCTAAACCAGTAATCAAAAAAAATAATTAAAATGAGAAGGTACCCCAAGTTTAACAGTTGGAAATTAAGAAATACATTCCTAAAATACCCTAATCTCAAAGGGAAAAACAAATGAAAATAAGTCTGTTTTATACTGAAACTTATGGGATGAAGGCAAATCTGTGATCAGAAGAAAATTTACAGTAAGATCTGATTCTTGTCTTCATAAAACAAAAATGACCAAAGAAAAAACTACTATTAATCAGAGAAGAAATAATCAATATAACAGAGAATTAATAAATTAAATATCAGCTGAGATGAATGAAATACAAGATAAAAAGTAGTTAAAAGGATAAATCCAAAACTAGCTTTTGAAAAAAGCATGTGACAAATAATATAAAGTGCTCGTGAGCCTTGTGAAAAGAAGAGCGAAAGCACACAGCTGGAATGAGAAAGGGCGCGCGGGTAAGGATAAGACGTGGAACATTGCCTGCATCTCTACACGATGGGTTTGCAAACCTAGAAGAAATGGGTAATTTCCTCTCACACTATAGATGATCAAAATTGGTATTAGAAAGAGCAGAGACAGTGAAACAGAGCAATTTGTGAAGGAGAAATTAAAAGATGGTTGACACTTTCTCATTAAAAAGGACACCAGGACATGCGGCTCCACACCAGGTTCTCTCTAACCTTTGAAGGGCAAACCCAATGCCCTTACCCTGCGGCAGACCTCGCGGAGCACAGACGTTCCTGCATTAATTTTACAACATCCTCATGTTGATATTAAGACATTGTGCAAAAAGTGGGCCAATCTCACCATAATATAGATGCAAAAAAGTATAAAAACTTCTGGCAAATATACTCACTGTATGAAAATATATCAAACATATCAGTGTTTGAAATGAACTACACCACAAACAAATGGGGTTAATTATAGCAGGTTAGGAATGGCTAGGTTATCAATATCAATAGATCTAATAACATTATCTATTACATCATTAAAGGAAAAACCATATTATCACCAATGACACAAAATCAATAAGTAGAATTAAGCAATTGTTACTAATAAAAACTCTATGTAAAGTAAGAGTGACACTATTAAGCAGCATAAGACATACACCAAAAATAGTGCCCAATATCATTCTAAATGATGAAAGGCCAAAATCATCGTAATTAAAATCAGGAACGAAAGGAGGCATGACTGCTGTCACCAGTATTGACATTGTTTTGGCATCTATCAAATGTAAAACATCAAGAACACTGTATAACTTTTATAAATATTAAGAGGAAGATACTTTCATTTTCCCCTGACATGATTGCATATCTGCAAAACTCAAGAAATTCTAGTCAAAAATTAATAAAAGTTGGTATGCATGTTGGTGTAGTAGAAAACTATTTTTAAAAAGAATATTATTTTCTATGAATCACACCAGTTAGAAATGGAAATGGGAAAATATTCCATTCTCATAAGTAAAATCTGTTAAATACTTAGGAGTAAATTTAACATAAAGAAAAAAGTTAAGGTCTCCAAGTCCTAGCCCCAGCAATATTTCATTCAGTACAAATCCCACAAATTCAACATCAGACAACTTACCAGTTCTTATAGTTCTACCTTTTGACTTTGTGCATGCTGTTCCTCCAGCCAGCACATATGCTGTTCCTCCTATCTGTACATGCTGTTCCTCCTGCCTGTACATGCTGTTCCTCCTGCCTGCACACATGCTGTTCCTCCTGCCTGTACATGCTGTTCCTTCTGCCTGCACATGCTGTTCCTCCTGCCTGTACATGCTGTTCCTCCTGCCTGCACATGCTGTTCCTCCTATCTGTACATGCTGTTCCTCCTGCCTGTACATGCTGTTCCTCTTGCCTGCACATGCTGTTCCTCCTGCCTGTACATGCTGTTCCTCTTGCCTGTACATGCTGTTCCCCCTGCCTACACACGTGCTGTTCCTCTTGCCTGTACATGCTGTTCCTCCTGCCGGCAATATTCTTCTCTCTCTCTTCATCTATTTGCCTTTAAAACCCCAGCTCAAAGCCGCTCTCCTCCGACCTCTTCCTTTGGCCCCTCTGGCTCCAGGTCCCTTTTGGGTGAACTCTGTCTGGGGAGGCAGAGCAGGAAAAACTGAAAGAAGATAAAGGAAAGAAGGGAGAGGAAGGGGGTCGGGGAGTCGGGGAGAAAGGGGGGGAAAGGACAAATGCTGAGAAGGACCTGCCCAGGCCCGAAAGGGCGTCCTTGGGAGCCCGCGCCTCCTCCCTCCTGTCTACCTACCTCTCACCTCTCTCGGGACCTAACTCCCGGTGACATCTGTGCCATTTCAGAGATAGACATCAAGGAGTCAATAGTCCAGGATTCCACCCAGCGGCTGATGTCATTCCATCGGCAGAGCATGGCGGACCCCCTGATGCTGCAGGACCCTGTCTTCACCGGGCGGAGGTCGACCATCCTGAGAGACTGGGTCGGCAAGATCCCCGAGTCATCCTATGACCGCAGGCTGAAGAACCTCATGGACAAGGGCACCGACCCCAAGGTGGAGATGGTGAAGACGCTGAAGCCAGAGGAGGTGCTGAGCTGCCGGTGAGCAGCCTGCGTGCGCGGGGCCGGGGCCAGGACCTGCGCTGAGCCCGGGCATCGGGGAGGGTGGGCTCAGCCTTTGAGCCCCCAGGGCTGCTCCAGGGCAGAGGCACCGGCCCGGGGACCATGTCCTGGGTGGACACGGCCTTTGGTGCTGCCCTTTGGACAGGAGCCTTTCCCGTGTGTGGCCTGGCACGGGAAACGCCCTGGGGAGCCCTGTGGTGTTGAATTGCGGGTGCTAGCAGGCACCCCCAGTGGCCGCCTTCTCCCAGTTTGGGTTTTTAGACTCCTGAAGGGACCTGAACAAAGTGGGGATCTCCCTCCTCACTTGCTCTTGGCCTTGTCCTCAGACACGCTGCCTTTCAGCCACGCCTGGCAGCTTAGTCCCCACCCGAACCCCAGGCTCCCCCGCCCGGTGTTACCCTGCTGGAAAGGCCGAATGAGGAGGCTCAGGCACTCCAGGAGAGGAAATGGGTCAGGCTGTCGCCGTCCTCGTAGAGCTGACAGCAGGGAGCTCGCCTGTGGGTTCAGACGTCTCAGATGCTGGCATCTGGCCACTGACGGGCTGAGAGAGGGGCGGCGGTGGGGCCCGGCCACCCGGCTGCGAGGGGAACAGGCAGCTCCCTGGCAGCAGGAGGCTCCTTGCTCCTGTCATCCCCGGGCTGGGGCCTCCGGCTGCGGCTCTCAGGGCCAACAGACAGCTCCCTGGGCTCCACGGCCGGGAGAAGGGGATTGGACAAGCCCCCGACCCTCGCGGAAGGGGANTCGATGGGGCTCTCAGGGCCAACAGACAGCTCCCTGGGCTCCACGGCCGGGAGAAGGGGATTGGACAAGCCCCCGACCCTCGCGGAAGGGGAAAGGATACCTGGAGAGATGGCACCTAATGAGCCACGAGGGCCTCCAGGGCTGGGCTGCAGGGAGCACAGGGCGGGCGGTGGCAGGAGCTGGCCGGGAGACGCAGTCCCGGTGTGACCGGCAGGCGGGGACCGAGGGCTGTGAGGACAGCTGAGCCCGGCAGACCCTGCAGGAGAAGCAAGGCTGCTCCGAACGGTAGAAGGCCTGGGTTCTCCCGTCATCTGCAGCCAGCAGCCTGGCTAGAGGGCCCGTGTCCTTGCACGAAGCTGGGAGCCAGGTCAGGGACCCGTGTCCTTGTACTAAAGCTGGGAGCCAGGTCAGGGGCCCGTGTCCTTGTACGAAGCTGGGAGCCAGGTCAGGGGCCCGTGTCCTTGTACTAAAGCTGGGAGCCAGGTCAGGAGCCCATGTCCTTGTACTAAAGCTGGGAGCCAGGTCAGGGGCCCGTGTCCTTGTACGAAGCTGGGAGCCAGGTCAGGGACCCGTGTCCTTGTACTAAAGCTGGGAGCCAGGTCAGGGGCCCGTGTCCTTGCACGAAGCTGGGAGCCAGGTCAGGGACCCGTGTCCTTGTACTAAAGCTGGGAGCCAGGTCAGGGGCCCGTGTCCTTGTACTAAAGCTGGGAGCCAGGTCAGGGGCCCGTGTCCTTGTACTAAAGCTGGGAGCCAGGTCAGGGGCCCGTGTCCTTGTACTAAAGCTGGGAGCCAGGTCAGGGGCCCATGTCCTTGTACTAAAGCTGGGAGCCAGGTCAGGGGCCCGTGTCCTTGTACTAAAGCTGGGAGCCAGGTCAGGGGCCCATGTCCTTGTACTAAAGCTGGGAGCCAGGTCAGGGGCCCATGTCCTTGTACGAAGCTGGGAGCCAGGTCAGGGGCCCATGTCCTTGTACTAAAGCTGGGAGCCAGGTTAGGGCTGATGGGGTTCATTCTTCAGTGTACTCAGAATTGTAGGGCTTTAGGCTTGTTTCAAATCAATGCTCTGATTTTTTAATTGTTTGAATATTATTAAACAAAATACCTCTATTCCTGTAGCTCTGCTCAGCCTGTTTCTGCCGTCCTCCGTTTCTGCCGTCCTCTGTTTCTGCTGTCCTGTTTCTGCCGTCCTCTCTGTTTCTACCATCCTCTCTGTTTCTACCGTCCTCTCCGTTTCTGCCATCCTGTTTCTGCCGTCCTCTCTGTTTCTACCGTCCTCTCCGTTTCTGCCGTCCTGTTTCTGCCGTCCTCTGTTTCTGCCGTCCTGTTTCTGCCGTCCTGTTTCTGCCGTCCTGTTTCTGCCGTCCTGTCTCCCCCAGGCCCGCGTCACCCAGACGGTGAGCTGGGGGCAATGATGAGAGAAACACCTGATAATTTGCATCCTGGGTTTTCTGGCCACTTGGCACAGCCCCAGCAGTGGCACCTCTTGGTGCATTCTTCGTGCCAGCAGAGCAGTCCTTGAATGGATATTCCCTAATTTGCTTACCCATCCCTCTGCTGATAGAATTTCCCATTTTCCTGCTGTTGAGAACCACCAAAATAAACTTTCATTTATTTAGCTTTTCTTTTCATTGACTTTTTTCCTTGAATTAAGGGCAGTTACTGAGTCAGTGATAACGAGCCTTCTAGGGGAGGGACAGGCAGGGGCCATGCTTGGCATCTGTGTTGCCACATCTATTTCCAACAGAGTTTATTACCAATAAAACTCCCACCAACCCCGTGGGGTGTCCTACTCTTCCATAAGATCCCCGTCAGCTCCAGAAATGTCTGCAGAGCCCTTTGGTACCCGAGTGCTTAAAGCTAAGCTCTTTTCAATTGAGTTCAAAGCCACAGTGACTGGCCCCTCCACTGACCTCTTTGACCTTGTCTGGCGCAGATACCTGAGGCTGTCCAAGAACAACGTCCTGACCTTGCTCAAGCTATGCAAGGACGCGGGCCTGGTGGTGGACATCCACCCCCACATGGTCGAGTCGGAGATAGACGCCAAAAAGGTATTTGCCCCACACCCCACCGTGGCCCTCTAGGAGCCCCTCCCATGCCCCGGGCGCTCACTGTGCCTCGGCCCTCGGACAGCATCGGTGGGAAAACAAGACTGAGCTGCATGGACCCAGGTGCTGCTGCGTTGCCTTCATTATCCGAGTCAGAACCAGCTTAGCAGACGCTGGCTGGGGGCCCCCCGCGCCCCTCGGAAGGGCCCCCGGGAAGGAAGTCTTAGGAGACATGGGAAATGCAGGCTCGAGTCCCCAGAGGACTTCGAGGGGGCCCAAGGGCTGAGCAGCTGGTGGAGGGCACAGGCACCCAGGGCCTTGCAAGCCCCGTGACGTGGCTCTGTGGGGAGCCGCCCTCTCCTGTGTGGGGTGAGGAGCCCATGGGGGGAACCTGTCAACTCAGGGAAACAAGGCTTACTCCACCGAAAAGTAGCCACCAGCGAGCAACTTGCCGGGTTGCACAGATGAGAAGTGGCAGGACTGGGATGTGTCAGTGTCCTCGCCCTAGTCCCCCTCGGCCGTCTCACATTCTGGAGGCCCCGGCAAACCCGTAGGACCCTGCAGACAGGGCCCCCATCCTGGAGCAGCTGCCAACTGAGGTTACAAGCCCAGCCCTTCTGGTCCCTGCAAGCATTTCAAGTTCAAGTCCCAGCTGCCCCGCTTGCTGGCTGTCCCTTCAGCTCTCTGTGCCTTTGTTCCCTCGTTTGTAAAAGGGGCCTAATGAGAGTGCCTGCCAAGCAGGGGCGCTCTGAGGAGGGAATGCGAGCTTGCAGGGGGTGCAGGAAGCACAGCCATTGAGGTGTAAAAGCTCAGCACAAATGTGAGGGGTTCCCACTGTCCCCTGGGTCTACCAGAAGCTGCTTTCCCCGAGGGTCCTCTGAACTGGGCTTGTCACTGTTGAGTCAAACCCTGTTGAAAAGCTACTGATAACAAACCCATATCCCCTCATGATTGACCCCCAAAGGTTGAGCCCCAGGAGCGATTGGCCAGCTGGCCATGTTTCACTCTTTGCTTCCAAATACCAAAGGCAGGGTTTCCCATCTGCTTTTTAAATTTCCATGCCTCACCCTGAGGCTCCGAAGTGACCCTCGACCTCGAGGTGAGTGGCTCCCCCCACTGAGTCAGAGTAAAGTTGTGGAGGCTTCCAGAACCCCCTCCCAC